TTTTACAGGCAGAGGAAATCACTGGTCCTTTTATTATGATAATCCTTGTTTTCCTTTTCAGTATGTATATACATGCAGTATGTGAATACACGTTGAGAATATACATATGCATGTTTGTGTACAAGTATAAAAAAAAATTGTAAAGAAAGGACTAGAACACAGCCTTTATGATGTCAACATAGTAGGAGTTTACACAAAATGCAGTCCCTTTTCATGATTCATAACCATTATACTTTGACAATGCTGTGCCTCCAATCTAATCATCTTGTGGTTCTCAGTAGTTTCACAGTCTCTTCCCCAAGTATTGATAACCACTTTAAATTAAAACACTATATGCATAACAATAGGTTCCTGACTCTTCATTCTGGGGACACTGCTGTTTGGTTTGACATTTCATTCCACTGCAATTGACAGCATGGGGTTTTTTTCCATATAATTTTAAATAATTCAGTAGTCACAACAAGATTTATAACCTCACAGTTTCTTCCCCTTTCCAAATGGTTTATTAATGTAATCAGTAACACAACACAGCATTATAGGAGGACTCCACATGCTGTCACTTTCTGTCGAGGAAACAATTTCATTCTAACTAGAGGATACATTTCCAATACAACACAAACCTGATGGTCAGTTCTGGTAACAAGACAGAGTACCAGTAGATGACTATCTCAAAACTGCTCATAATGTACTTTTACTCTAGTCAATAAAAAAAAATGACACTCAAAATTAACATACCCAGGTTTCCAAAGACCTGTGGGTGCAGAATTGCTTCAAGCTTAAGGTATCTGCAACTAACATGGTATATCATACTTAAAGAAAATAATGAGCAAAGGATTAAGTTTTAAACAATACTTTTGCTGAAAACAAAGGCAGGGGGAACAAGAGCAGATAAAAAATGTCAGAAGCTCACAGTAACCCACATAACAGCTATTTCTAAAGCAAGTGCCAACAGGAACTGCAAAGATGTACTTTACTGCACATGAAGATGTCATTATCTTCAAACAAAAGAAAAATCCGTTTTGTTTCCCATGTGGTTCCTTCTAATAGCTCAGAGATATCGTCTGCTCTGACTCAGCAGACTGATTTCCTTTATTGAGCTCTTGCAGGTCAGTCTCTATAGCAAACTTAATGAAGCATTCCCTCTGGCTCTCTGTCCACCCAGACCACAAGTAGCCTGGTCTAGCTACAGAATTCTGACAACAGAGACGCCTACCAAGCTGCTGCAAAATAAAAATTTAATTTTAGGTTCCTAAATATGCATCCAGTTATTTAAACAATGAATAGGAATAGTAGTTCCCACACTGAGTAGACAATATAGTTAACACTGAATTAAACACAACAGAAATTATAGCCACATGTCTAGTGTTTTTCTTTAATAAAGACATTTCATTATTCATTTGTCACAGCCATAGATTAATTATATCTTCAAGGATATTTCAAAATGCTTTAGCAAGTCCTTGAAAATATCACTGCAATATTTCACGGATATTTAAGTTTTGAAGCATCAATTTGGTTTCTCGGAAAAACAGCTTTCAGTCACACTACTCAAAATACATAACTTCTTAAGGGCCAAGACCAACAAAAACATTGAATCACAAGTACTCTGTGCCTGAGGTGTTCTACTGCTGAGAAAGTGCTGGGGAGAGCAACAGGAGTCAGTTCACAAAATATAACATTCTCAGTTGTGTCCAACTGACAGCTCTACAAACTCAAGTACTAGCATGGCTGTTTGAGAACAGTATTGCAAGATTTTTCAGGTAACACTGCACCTTCCTGTGTCACTTCTAGGAGTTGCTCTGAAATATTTCTATACTTTACAGATTACATTTCTGTACACGTCAAAGATCTGAGTGGTCAAGTGCTCAGCTTTCTGTTTCCTTTTTTCCTCCTCTTTTAAAAGGTCCTAGCTGGTTCCAGTTTTCTGGGTATCAATTACAGTGAAGAGATTAAAGGTACATGCTTTCTTGTTTTCTTAGAATCAGGGATTTTAAATAAAATTGCAAGGGATGGGCTTCTTCTCTTGTGTGATGGGAAGGTACTGCAAATACAGGACCTGACTGTGAGACGTCAAGTGAAGTAAGGTTGGGAGTGAAGTTACTGCCCTGAAATGGTGCTGAGTTACTCATAAAATTATCTCCTTTTCCCAAATTACAGCAGAAGAGCAAGGGCATCTTTACTGATTCAGAAAGCTAAAAGGATGCTAGAGACCTAAAATGGTCTTCTTGCCTCAATAAAGCATTTTCCCTGCTCTAAATGCTTATTTATAATCTCACTTGCAGAAATGCACAACAAACATGGCCTCTGCCATAAGTGTTCTGAATCTTTGGGATTGGCAGTTTTGTCCTTTTGTGTTAAGGCAATCAAGTGCATGCCTCATTATTTAGTAAAAATACCATAAATGCTAAGCTAGATGCAAATTCATATGTAGTATTGATTAAATCACTCGTCAGTACAAAGATGTTTTAGTATGTTTTACATGTTACAGCTCTTGATAAAGATGTTTAGATTCAATAACACATTTATTTGAACTTATCACACCACCTTTTGATGGGCAACTAAGGCACAACAGGTGATTTCTTTGGGTTGAGAAAGGGTTCTTAAGCAGTAATTCCTTTAAGACTTCCAAGGTGCATGGACAAGTAAGGTGATTTCAGGGATAGCATATCAGACAGGTGAAAACAGCCAACTCTACAAAAGCACATGCAACAACCTACACGGTCTGTCTCCAGACAATTGCTATTTTCAGGATGCAGGAAGGGTAAAAGCTTTCAGATAGGCTCAACAGTGCAAAATTAAGAATGAATTGCATTCTTTACCTATAAATTTAAAACATTATGAGATGCTTTTCTTTTTGAATGCTAGAAGTTGTGAGCCTGAAAAATTCAGTACCAATTATCACAAAACCAAACACAACTTGCCCTCCTTCTTCAGAACTTGACAGCTGAACTCTATTTTATAATTATATATCATCACAAACACAGAAATTGAAATTAAGCTCTTTGCAGTCATGTTCAAGGTCCTCAAATTTCATTATTACTATTACTATTTTTACAGTGGAGTTGATGGCTAAAACAGACTACCAAACCTAATCCTAGTATTAATTAATTTAAATCTACTATCATAGTTACAAAGTGGATCTCAGAAAAATGATTCTGCTTATTGAACATTATGGTTTTGGTACTAATTCACTATCCTTGATCTGCTAAAAGGCTGAGTCACACTTGAACTTTTACTATCTATATGCAACTGTTAAGATAACCAACAAGCTGTTCATCTGTTGCAAAACATAATTTTTTGGAACTTCCATAGGTTGGTGAAAATTTAAGCAGACATATAACCATGAGGATGACAATATTTCTCTGAATGGTGTGATTTCAGTCATGCACAGACTTCATATATAAAAGGAAAGCTCAGTTTAGTGTAATACCTGTCTTTGATAAGCCAAACATATGATGAAAATTAGGAATTGAAATAATTAGTGATTTTGTTCTGCTCCACCGCCAGTTTTCATACTTTTGACCAAGCTTCTGTAAACTGAAAAAATTGCCTGTCATATTAACTTAAGAAAATATTACCTTGAGGTTTTAAAATCTAAAGCTTTCAGGAAAAGAGAACAAAGAATCATGAGGACAAGACATAGCATAGCATGTTTTGGGAAGAGTGGTTTCTGTTGTACTTTAAAAGATAGTTATACTGAACATATATCAGGCAGAATTAATAAGAGATTTTACTTATAGAAACAATGTTGGTGATAAAGACATGGCTGAATTCCATTGCTTCAAGATGTACTAAAAGTCCACCACAGATAACCTTCACTTCTACTAACAAAGGCCTGGCCTGCATTAGTTAAGAAAAACACAGCATGCTCAGAGAAGAAGTAAAGAATGTAACTATAGATACTGACTATTTTCACTTGTAACTGACAACAATGCACAGATCACATGAGGAAGCTGTTTGTGCAGCTCTGTGAAAGCTGTGATGCCTCCCAGGAGTTCAGCTTCCCAATTCAAATATCGGACAGCCAGGCATGCAGGTACAGTGTGGTGAGAGACCAAGGGCACTAACAGTGCCCCAGGGCCACTTCAACTTGCTCTGCTTTCAAACTCTGTACTCATATAACCTGTGTTAGTACGGAAGTAAACATTTCAGTTTCTTTTATGAAAAGTAATCAATTCCACTGCTTTGAACTGGGTCATCCAGACTGACTCATTTTTAGTCAAGTACCTTGCAAAGAACTATTACTGCATCATTTTAAAAGATAACTTTAGGAATGTTCCCACATATTAGAAAGATGTTCCCACTTGAATAGCTAAAAAATCCTGAAATTTCCTCAAATTTATTTTAGATCTTTATTTTGTATGTCACAAGGCTGGTTACTTCTCATGCATTACAGTCCACTGACTGATAAAATAGGAACTGAACTAGTAATGCCAGTATTACTACTACAGAGAAGAAGTACTGCTCTTACGGATGACAAGGTATAATACTTCCTTTGTCAATGCAATTAGTTTCCTTTACACTTTTTTTTAAAGAAAAGTGTAAGAAAACAAAACAAAACCAAAATAGAACTGCACTACAGTACTGAATAAAAGAAGGAATATTTTCACATACACAGCCATACTCTGTGCTACAAGGGCCATTAAACAGTAGCACGGCTCTCACTAACCTCCTGTACATGAGAACATTTCAACAGCACTACTGTTAAGCAGCAATGTCAGAATATTTCCCTGGGAGCTGAAAATATTTCATATAGTCAGACATTGCCTCAAATGCCTGTTACGCTTTGTACTCCTATTTTAAAAACAAGCTTTCCAAACTGCCCAAGGCACAATGGAATACTATCATACTGTAAGATACAGTAATGTTTTAACTTAATGAAAAGAGCACATTAATTCTATTAATATTTCTTAATATATACTTAATTTTTAACTCAGTTAATGCATATGTTTTCCTCAAATCCCATGAAAATGTGAACAAAAATAAAGCTATTTTTTTCATACCATTAGTTTCTGCAAATTTCTGTATATCAGCCAGAGTTTTCAGTTCTTTCCTTGGGCAAGCTGATACACACAAGGCAATAGACTTAATCTTCTGATGTACTAGATCAATGTTGCATGGATCCAAGAAGAATACATATCTATGGAAAGAAAAAAGGTAAATTGCTTTTATTTTAATTAACAATTTACACTGAACGAAATTTCAGACTATGGGATTCAATCAAGACCGAGTGATTCAGTTTACCCAGAAACACAGGAAATTTTATATTATTGTAAATGTGTGGATCAAAAGAATTTTTGTACTCAACATATGCACAACAAACATATGGGTATTTAACTCTACCTGATTCAAGTCCATTAAAATGGTGCTACTCATAAAAACAGTAGTCCTGCCATGCCTCTTCACAGATATGAGTCCAAACATTCACAAAGCTTTACTCCAACCTTAAACTTGACTTAGAAAATTCCAATTTTTTTACAAAAAACCCAACAAACCAAATAAAGTCATTCTTATTCTGCAAAAAAGAAAAGGTCCACAGCTATATTAATGAATACACATAGCACCAGTAATTAAGAACAGCTTTTTAGTATAGATTGATTTTCCATGCCATGACTGAACCAATTACTTTAGTATTTACTTAGAAATAAAATTCCTTCAGATATTTCACATAAAATTATCTAATGTTTAAGGGCAGTATTTTGAAGAGATTCTACTTGCTAACTTTTCACAATGAATGCCATTTGAAAATCCAGTGCATGAAGTACATATTATAGATTCTTAACTAACATCTCCTGGCTATATTTATGACAAGCACTAACCCTACAGAATTTCGTGGATAAATGATGGTGTAATGGAGATGCTTTTCTCTTTGGAAGGTGAACAATTCTTAAATGCCTGCAGTTCTAATGATGTACTAAGCGTTGAAATATTCTCTTCATATTACCTAACATCATCATATGAAAACACCAGAAATCTGCCATATAAAATGCTATTTCTATTTTTGCAGTCCTCACAATGGGAATTCATTCTGTAACCAGTAAAATCCCTTTCACTCCTAAAAAGCATTTAGGTCCTCCCTGAGCACCTTCAGTCTATATGCTAATTGCTGTCTACTGTTCTATTACCCAGTGTCAGTGTACAAGAATGATTACTATTCTTGTAGAGTACAGTCTTCCTTGAAAGTCTATCAAAACCCATATTGTTTAAATCAACTGTAACATGGTAATAGGTTACTTCCATTCTCATAATATTCCTTTCCTCTTCAAGTTCACAGTGAAATCATCCACCCCTATTTCTCTTCTACATTACACACTAGACATCTTCGGACTTTATAGAAAGACCACTGAAATCTGACAAACAAGTGTAAACAGGAAAATTCTGTCATGCAGACACAGTAAAAGTTACTGCATGCAAGCAATAAGCCACAGTTCTCCCTTATTTCAAATAAAATACTCTTGAATTGGTACTAAGACATACAAAAGCTGTATTAATTGAAGTTTCCTCCGGTTGTTATCCCATACAGTAAGTGCACATGGCAGAACAGTGTCTACTTCTTTGAGGGTATTTGGTCAAAGGAGTTCCAAAAAGAGCCTACAGAGTCAAAGCTGACTGATACGGCAAGGGAGGCTAGGATAGGAACAAACCTGGCCAATGCCACTAATTGGTAAGGATATGTGGATTATGAAAATGGTTATTTTTCACTAAGACTATCTGGCTAAGGACCTTGCCAAGCTGAGATAAAGAAAAGGAGAGAGACACTCAGACATAAAACTTGTCCACTTAATAAAAACAATAATCAGAAACAAGCCCAGTCAATGACAGTAATTGATGGACTATCAAAAAATTGGACAGGGACTTTGCAATTGATAGAGATGCAAACTCCTAAGAGCAGAATGTAGTAGGGGTCAGTGGGGACCCTGTCAGCAGAGGCAACATGCATGGGACAAGGTAGCAGACAGAGATGTAAAAGTAACAGTTACATGCAAACTGATGTTGGTCAGTAAGTTATCTGACCTCAGCACCTGATTACTGCAGTCTATCTTGTCCTATTACTAAAGCTTTTAACTCTCTCTTTGCATAAATCTAATCTCTATCCCATGTGCATGGATGCTGCAAGTGCTGCAGGGATTAAGCACCAGCTACTGTGGGGACTGACAGGGGTGTGAGGAATTTGGTGTCAGCAACTGGAATCAGGCCAGGGGTTTGGGTGCCACAGGACTGGTGTCAGCTACCAAAGTGGATGGAGTCTCAGTGCCATTGGCAGGGAGGGATCTTGGCAATGAGCTGCTGGGGTGGGAACAATTTGTGCCCACAAAAAAAAGCAGCCAGAGTTGATAGACTCAGCATAGATGGTCACAGCCCTTGCAGTGCTGGCTACTGATGGGGATGAACACCTGTACCTTCTCCAGATCTATGCAAATTATAGAATCATAGAAAATACTGAGTTGGAAGGGACCCACAAGGATCACTGTGTCCAGCTCCTGGTATAACTCACTAGCAAACTCCAAGCCATATCAGACAATGAGTAGGGAGGTCTAGGTGAGAAGTTTTGTGTGAGCAGAGGGTCTGTGGTGTTACTGGGGGGAAACTGAGGGTTTCTGTGGGTGTTTGTGGAATGACTGCATGAGTGTTTGACACTTAGCACCAAACTAGGGGAACTCATAAGGTGGATAAGGTGCTGTGCTGGCTCTTGGAGAATCCACAGAAGTGTGTGAGCTTGCGAACCTGTGAAGTGTCATGTGTGTTCCTACACAAGTGACCTTCTGCCACTGTCAGCCTGTGAGGACAAGGGAACATGGTTGGCTGCGCTCGTGAATACCACTGTTGAAGGCAGCACCTTGTCACTGTCAGTCTGTGTAACCAGCTATGTCAATGGGTACTGCCCATCCACATCTCTCAGCCTAGGCAGAGACCCTGGGTTCTGGGAGCTGTAGGACTGGACTCCAGCTCCTGGATGGAGTGCTCTCTGAATTTTCCTAAGGAAACCAAATCAGGAATGTCACCATTAGCAAGCTAGAACTCATCCCACTTTTACAGTGATTTCAATTCAAGGGTCAAACTACGATTTTAATCGCCAGAATATTTTGTAAAATAAATGCTGCAATTCTAACTCAAATCTGGAAGTTTACAAATACAATGCAATTACAGCATCATACAGCATCATACACAGTTTTGACAGAAGTGTGGGCATAGCCTTGAACAGCACATGTAATTCAAACACTGCATTTTATGGTAAAGAGACAGTTCTGACAGCAATAAGGGAGTTGCACAGAAAACTCCAGGCTATCAAATCTGTGGCCTTGGAAGACACAAGATAATTAACATTGTTTTTACTTCATCGCAGCTAAAACAAGAACTAAAATTCTAGGAACCAGAATTACAGAAGAAAAGTTAATTTCTTTTTGTTTATAAAGAGTACATGTAGAAAATAAGTGATTTTACTGCAGAAAATTTCATACTGTGTCACCACAGGACAGAATTTGTTTCTCTCTAGAAGAATGTCATTACATGCTTTGTGCTGTAATTTCAGTTATTTACAATCAGCAATAGACTAATTTTCTAATAAAGAAGTAACTTATATCAGCAATACAAAGACTGACGTAAACAAAGTAATCATATTGTTAGAGATGCTTCAACACTGCAAATGAAAATATGTTTGCTACTTGAAAATCAATATAGTAGACTTACAGCATATGCACATTTATGCATTTTTATGCACTATCAGCCCTGTAGAGAAGGAGGTACTGGTGCATGAAAAATTGGACATGACCCGGCAATGTACACCTGCAGCCCAGAAAGTCAACTATATCTGAGACTTCATAAAAAGAAGCATGACTAACAAATGAAGTTTTACTCCACCCTGAGGGGGATCCCCCAGCTGTTATAGTGCAACCAGCTCTGGGATGCCCAGAACAGGAAAGACACGAACCCATTACAAGAGTAGAGGAGACCCATGAAAATGATGAGAGGGCTGGAGCATATGAAGATGTGCTAAGAGAGCAGGGGCTGTTCATCCTGGAGAAGAAAAAGCTGTGGAAACACCTTTTGGCAGCTTTCCAGTACTTATGGGGGCTTCTCTAAAAGACAAAGTGACTTGTCACACAGGCAAATAGTTAAAGGACAAGGGGGAATGGCTTTAAACTAGAAGAAGGCAGAATTAGAATGACAGAATCATCAGAAAAAGACCCTTCACATCATCTACTCTAACTGTAAATGCACTGCCAAGACCACCACTAAACCATGTCCCTAAGCACCAAATCTACATATTTTTTAAATACCTCTAGGAATGATGACTCCACCACTTCAATGGCTTGATAACCTTTTTGGCAAAAAAAGAATTGTCATAACATCCAAACTAAATGTCCCCTTGCACAGTCTGAGACCCTTTTCTCTTATACTGTCACTTGTTACCTGGGAGAGGAGATTGATTTCCTCATCCTTTCAGGCAGCTGTAGAGCAATAAGATGAAACCAATAACTAGTAATGTGAGCATTAAAAACACTTAGACAAAGCTAGCATTTTAAATATTATCTAAAAATTAACAGCTAGAGTGTACATCCCATATGGCATGTTACAGGACCTGGAATGACCATATTGCAACACGGACTATAGAACCAAGCGAAACCCCCATAAAAACCAGCCTAAGATGGTATGAAGATGACCACATTGCAACCACTTGCTAACACAACAGCAAACCAATGAAAAGTAAGACCACCCCAGGCCCTAATAGTGCTCTTGGTCCAGGCTGTCATGTAAGAGATAGGGAATTCACACTGCAAGGGAAATAATTCCCCAGCTATTTCTTTGTTCAGGTTCTCTTTTTTCAAGGCACATCAATAGAGCTACCACATACCATAACTGATCTGTACCATCTAATGGAGATGAGAGTCTAGTCTCAAAAATTTATTCAACAGTAGGGCATATACAGTTTCATTCAACCAAATTCTCTGTGTACATGCTACAAATCATCCCTGGGTCTTCCCATTACCTAAGCTTCAAGCATTTCCTGGGGTCAAAGGCAGGCACTCAGGCAGAATGCCACCCTAACTATTCTGCATAGCATCATCTAGTATTTGAGTACAGCACAAAACTAAATTCTGTCCAAATAACAACTTATTGGCGATGGAAAACCAGCCTGAACTAGCATTTCAGCTGGCTGCTGTGATTATCCTTTATTTGCAAATAAAAGGTCATTTTTAACCCCTTATAACTATCAGAATTTGTAAAGCAAGAAGCTTACTTGAAGGAGATAGATTTAATTAGAATTCACTGCCAGATCTAGAGTATAATCCTATGTCTGACTCTGGAAAACAGACTATTAAAGTGTTTTGTGGTTACTTTGTAAAAATAAAAGGATGTCTGATCCACTCTTTGTTCATGAGACCAGGTTGTAAAATCCTCCTTCCCAATATTTCATTTTACTGGTTTCAGCATATCTGATGTACACAGAAAGCAAATCATATGTCTGTGAGAACTCTGCTTTTCACCCCTACCACCCAGATTTCCATATCCACATAGACAACATCAATTTCACTTCCACATGACAGTGCCTATGGGTTGCTGTCACATACAATGAAGAAAATGTTATTTTTACAGATGATTTAGTTTTTCAGCCCTTGAACTAGGAAATGAAAATGGATTTACCCGGCAAGCAAAATGAAATGAGAATAACTTCATGTTTTCAAAGCCCCATTTATGGAGCTTAAAAGTCTTTTCTTTCTCTACACAAACTGAAATGTACAGACAGGAAGAAGAGTTTATTTTTACAGTCTGTCTGCAAAATGCTTCTATAAAAATAGCATTAAATACTCCCATGAACCCCACCTCAGACACTGTAGGAACTCCATCTGCTAGAGACAGATGCAAAGCAGATAGCTTTTTTAATTTGCTTGGCAATTTTTCAGAAGAAACTATGGAGAAGGAAGGATCACTCCAATAATAACCAATTATTATAATAACCAATCCTTTCCGAAACTGGATACCCTGGACTATACAAGGCACTTTATGTGAACAGTTAAAGAATAATTTGCCTTAGCAGAGGATTTTCTCTTAACCAAACAGAGATTATTATAACTCATATGTGTGTATCTATTAATTTGCTTAGATCATGCATCAAGCCATGGCATCTTTGTTAGAAAAACATAATTCTTTTGAACCTCTTTAAGACTTCTTGACAAAATACAGGTTCTCTCAATTACCTGTATTGAAAACAGTCTATCTGCTGTCTTTTGAGCTTGCATTTACAAGAGGAATTTACTTAGTGGTGGATGTTTCCCCACATGATGCTCTGACTTATGTCACACATAGAAGACTATTACAATATTAATTATTACATTTCAATAAGGTGTCTGAATTTCTCTACCTTCGCATGATCTCAGACACCATTTCTTTCTAAAGGTAAACGTAAAATTATGATTTTAAAATTTGCATTTTTTCTCAGAACACTAGAATCATAATTTTGTACTTTATACTCATGGGTGTTGAAAGTGCTAAAATGTTTATGTAAAAATGTATGAAAATTATGTTGCATAAGCTCTAAGCCTTTCAACCCTCTTGAAAGATGGTATTAGATTAAGAAATTATTTTTCCGACAAAAGATAGCTGTAAAAAGTTCCAGACATTTTACTTACCTCAAATCTTTCTGGTTACCACCAATTATTTATCTACATATTAAATCTTAAATGGGTATTTATAAGTCTTTGGAACAGCAACTCAAAATAAGCTGATCTCAGGAAAGTGTGCTTCCAAAATAACTTACAAATTTCTGTTAGTCTGAATGTGTGAAGCAAAAGGCTGTCATACTCAGAAATTAGTAACTTTTCAGCTCCTTGAAGCAATTGATGGTGAAAAAGCCAGGTTTTTTTGTCAGTTAACATTACTGTACTACACTAAACAGTTTACTTTCTGAAGTCACGCAAGCTGTACAGGACTTTGAGCTTGTCTGACTGACAAGACAGACCTCAACAGACATTCACAGGTATTCAACCTGTCAGTCCAGAATTCTTCCCACAGTTCCGGTACTACTACTATTACTGTCATGTCTTTCCTGTACAACAGATAGGAAGTACCTGAACTTTGTTTTAACAGGACACTGCTTAATCAAAGCTTTGTGCACTTCTAAAGTTTTGTGCATTTTCTCCACAAGTCACATATGTACATTCTGTCTATAGCTTAAATTTTAAAGTCTTACTCTAATGCACCAGATATATCTCATCTCCCCCTACTCCTAGTGGCAGAAACTGAGCATACAACATCAAAAGGAAACATTGCTATCAAAGCCTGCTCCCAAATCTGAGAATACTTGTCACACCTAAAAATCTAACAAACAAGACTTTCCAGTGGCCTAGTACAATGTCCTACATGAAATCAATACTGGAAAAAGTAATTCCTCAATTACTTTTGATTATGAGCAGTATTCATACTGCATGTCTGCCAACATATAGTCTAATGTTTGTGGTTGTTACAAAAGATTGCCGTCCTCCAAGTGAGAAAAGTGTCAAAGGAGAAGTATATGAGTTAGCATGTCCCTTTTCCCATTTTATTTGAAACCACTCCCAAAGAAAGATTTTGCCTTTCCTGATTTACAGAATGCAAAAAATGTATCACATACTTACTTCTTGTGTGTGAGGTCCAGACCACTGTTGACTATTCCCTCCACTTTGACATTTTTCTGTCCACAAATATTTCCATAACTGTCATATCCTGAAAGCAGTCTTGCAGCTGCTCCTGTAGCTATTGAAAAGCCACAGATAAAACCCTGGAGGAATAAAAAAAATCCCACAGTTTAGCGATACTCTGTTTCACATCTGGGAAAGGTCAGTTTTATTAATTTATTTCTAAACAGAGGTTGTCTAAAAATTCTTTCAGACTGGAAAAGGAAAGACAAGGATTACCACAGAGAACTGCTGTGCAGTAATAAAACTGAATGCAAGCTAAGAGATGATTCACATATGTAACACTGGATATTATACAAGCATAGTTAAGACTCCTGTATGTGGTCTATTTGAAAGTCATATTGTCAGCAAGTGGGCATGAAGCAGAAGGGAGAAGTCAGTAAGTGGGCAACAGCAGGCAGTGAAGGAGAGCTACAAGCAAAGAGATGGAGTTTTCAAGGATTGCTATGCATCTTAGACAATTCCTCCCAATCCAGATTTTCTTGCTTTCAGATTTTTTTTCTTTCCTTTAAATTAAGTACTTTCAAAGATGAGCTAGAATTAAGATGCCTATCTAACACAAGTTTCTTTTAAGGAAATTCTCTTAAAGCAAGTGACCAGGTCAAGGCCACTGTGGTTTCAAATGCTGGTTTTAAATGCAGGAAAGAAACAGACGCAAAGCAAGATGGTTCAGACCAAGTAATATGGAAAATGCCCTTAGTAGGCAAGTCTTGCTGTGAACTTCCAGAGATATTTTACAAGCAAAACCAAGATTAAGGCAATGATTGTGAAAACAAGACACTGACCCAAAAGCTTCATTAGCAAACCACTGTCAGGGAGAAATGAACCATCAGCTCACTCCACTACCACCAAGGATCTGATTTTACATGTGAGACAGGCTAAGATTTGAGAAGTGGAAGCAGAATAAACAGCTGAGACAAGTGTATGGAGCAACAGATGGCATTGTCAGGATCAGATGAAATGATTATAACAGGTAATGACGTTGGCATGGAACAGTGAAAACGTGGGCGGTGCACCCTGCAAGTGAACTCTCCTAGAACGGTAACTGTGTGACCTAGTCGGATGATTTCTCTGTATATTACATTGCTTAGACAGGAAAATTTGGGACATTTGTGCACAGGAAACTAATTTATTATTGGAAGAACAGATAAATAATCAAATAATCAGGGAACATCAACAAACCAGAAAAAAAAACAAATGCAAAAGAAATCTACATGTTTCAGGAAGCGCTGTGCTTTTTGCAATTTTAAGATATTCACATTACAGTGATACTGCAATACATATGATTTTAAATAATCATTATGATTTTTACATTTGAAGCCAAACCATTGAAAAAAACTCTGGGGAAAGCAGAAGAAACTTTTCAATGGAATTATTCCAAAAACCAGAGACTGAGGAAGAGCAGAAAAGAAGGCTGAGAGCACTTAATCCCCCGAAGGACACCTGCTTGCAGTACAGCAGTACAAAGCAGCAATTTTTACTCTCTGTTTAAGAAGAGTAGCAAACACCAGATCATGAAACAAAGTAAGATGGAAAGAAGTGTACTTCTAATTTTCATTAATCTGCAGCTTTCAAAGGTTTGGTCTTTTAATAAAAAGTATAGAGTGTTGTGAGGCTGATTTGAAAAAGGTGATGGGTCCATCACAGAGGACTGAACTGTTAAAACTTTGAAAAAAGATCTTATCATTAGTAATATGGTTGTTAACAATAGCTGCTTCTACTAAGTATACAATAAAAATAAATTAATTAAATAAACAAAAACCCAGTTAGCTCTTTGATAGTCAGAATCTTTTTTTCTCACAAAAAAACTTTACTGTGATTCACAGAATTGTTTACCAGACTTCCAGCTACCATTCTGGGACATGCAGAGTCCCATAAAGTACATGAGTCAACTGATAATTTGCCATGCTGAAAAAATCACTTACCACCGAGACTGCAGTTTCAGGGGAAGAGAAGCTAGAGAAAGAACTGACACCAACAATAAATTATGGATCCCTACCAAAGGCCTACCAAAGTATGCACACACTACCCATTTCTGTTCTATAGCTGATAGTTCCCATGTAAATATATCCTGATCTTTGCTGGTGATTAAGTTACTGATAGGTTTTAAAACTCCCTCCTTATGAATGCAAACTCTTCAACTCTATAACATTTACAAAATCTGCTGAGTTTTACTCACCATTCCTATGCAGAAGACAATGAATAAGAGCAGCCATGGTACATCTGTGCAGCTGTGGTCTTCCAGAGGCTTCCATTCTCGCTTGGAACTCTTGTGTGAGAAGAGAGACACAAGGTTAAAAACACTTTGTCTGTTCATAATAGAAAAAGGCAGAAAACTATTCTACAGGTAATTTATGTACAGCAGGAGCCATCTTCAATACCAAGATAGTTGAAGAACCTTGGCTGAAAGACTTTAAGAGTAAGGCTCATGTAAGATTTCAAAATAAGTGCCTCCACAAGACCTAGACCATCAAACAGTTATTTACCAAAAAATAGCTGATTTATCCACAAAACATGTTATTTTCACTTGTCTTTTTATTACCAGAAAACAGAAATGAATGGCATGAAATTGACAGTATCTCCTATTGCAGTCTTTCACAGCTACCTTTCAGTAATCTGATTTCCAGGAAGGATAAATATTAAACTTTTCAAAAACCCCTAAGTTTTCAAATACAATTGGCAGGCTGAAAAAGAGCTATGGATGTAGAAAGGAGGTAATAAACTGCTGTTTAAGGAACAGTTTTCTACCTGCCATAAGGCAGCTGAGATTAACACTTCAGTGAAGAAATCCTTCATCTGTATTGTTATGGTGCCAGAAAGGTAAATTGTATAATTAAAGGTTGGAATACTCAATGATGGAGGTAGTTGTAAGCAATTTAGATAGTTTCCTGTTCATGAGGTAAAAATTCTCAAGTAAACATACATTGCTAAGATAATTAGAGTCTTATAAACAGTCAGGCAAAAAGGTTCCAGGAAAAGGGAAAAGAATAAGCACTAGCTCTAATATAAAACTAACCACCTAATCAGAATTTGTTGCAACAAAAATACTGATTACAGCTTTTTAAAAATTTTAAAAATACACAGTTACAAAGATAAGTTCTTTCAACAGGCTCCCAAATACTGAATCTTCATATATATTGACTGAGACCCATAAACTGCAGACACTGTTTTAATCCTTCATTCAGGAAGAAAAGTAGGTTGATGTAAGGAGACTGCATACACAACTGTTCTCTCTAGAGAGAATAAAGGGGATAACCTATTCAAATTTTAAATTTATTTTTTTCTCTTAATACTCTGAGGAATCTTCAAGATTTTTCCAAACAGGTAGCAAATGTCACTGCCGAATTAAAACAGAATGGCTGGATGAAATGTCAACATCTTCTCTCGCCAGTATGTATCTTGCATATTTTTAATAAAAAAACCCAAAAAACCAATAGCATGATATTAGCAAGGTGATTTTTTTTGGTATTCATGACTTTGGCTTTTTTTTGTTCACAAGCTCAAAACAACTTTTTCAAATACTCCCATTAGAAATTGGATAAACAAATAAAACTAAAAACTGGATAAACAAATGAAATCCTGTATGCATCACAAAAATGTGGTTTTCTAAGTAGTCCAACTTGGCATTCAGGAATTCCATGCTGATTTTGCAATGTTTACTAAGGAAGTTCCACTTACAGGTGTGATAAATGTAGTTTTACAGATGTGATAAGCACTGTTTTAATTCAAGCTGCAAATTCATTGTATGTTCTGAAAGTCAAACTTTAGATTTTACTTAATAATCAGTAGTTAGAGGTGCTAAAAGGTCACATTATGCACTCTACAATGCACATTCAACAAAACTGGATTTTCTGATGCTGGCAGTTCACACTTAAAACTAACACACTCTTTGAACTTAACATTTACAACAAGATTGTGACATTCATGTTGTTATAATTAGCATAATCATAACTGCATAAATTATGTAAGGCTTTGTGCTTCCTATTCCTAAATTCACTCCAAGAATTCTAGATTATTTAGAAATTTACTTTTATTTACAAACAGCAGAGAAAAAAATTCAGCTACAGCTGCTGTCTTAAGAGCAAACTGCCCTTGGCAAAAGAGGGAGCAGCAAAATGCACTGCAGGGTGTGCTTTGTTTTTTTTTGTTGGGGTTTTTTTATCCTTTCTACCATCTGCATCCAAAATCTTTTAATAGGATTTTTAAAAGCCTCTAGAATAGCTCTGGCAAGGATTTTGGTTGTCTGACTAGTCACAGTTACCATAAGTAATCCATTTTACTTACTAAGTGGACTGCAATTTATATGTCAAAAAGAAACTTGAAATGCCATAACATGGAAAATAGTCGGAAAGTTACACAGATAAACTAGTTCTCTATCTGTGGTTCTTACTCTGTGAAAAACAAAAAAAAAATAAAAAAACAAAAACAAAACAAAAAACCCACATACCAACAAAAACACCAAAAAACCCCACCAAACCAGGAAGGTATTCTAAACAAAGTATCCTTGGATGAAACTCAATAAGTAGTAGATACTTACTAACTTATAATTTAACCATTTAGCATGTTAATGAGGTATGAAATTTTATATATATATATTTATAAAACAGCACCCCTCTTCCGCAGCCTGTCCAATCTTTATTGTCTCAGACCCCCATAAAACCCAAGCTAGCTACCATTATCTGTCTACTGTTTTCTTCCCAGTTGCTTCTTTGTATTCCGGATTCCCAATGAACCCCTTTCCATCACTTCATAGTCTTTTGTCCTTGTCTTTGATATCAGTGTCTTTGTTTCTCCAGCGATTGCTCCCTGTCTATTCTACACCCTTAGGCATTTACTCAGACTGCGATTTTCATGCTTTGGCAACATAAATTGTTAATCCATGGTCAACATAAGGTCTAACAAATGTTGTTTGTTCTGCAATCTGTAAACTATGCTTGTCTCCATTGTGATTGAAACACCATAACATTTTACAAGACATGCTTTGCCTGAAATCCTAAATCAGCACTTCTACTCTTCCAGATAGATTAGGAGCCTGCAGTATTTGCTTATGCAAGAAAGCTAGAGGAAAAAAAAAAACAAACTGTAAATTATTAGATTAATTTCAAGTTTTCCCTTGAAACAGAGGGAATTATTTTATTTCAATTATGAAATAAAATTTTCATAATTTACACAATGTTCCCTAAGGATATTCTTGCCATTAACAAAGCATGTACTGTCATGAAAGCACGGACAATCTGGAACACTCAGTCAGAAGTGGAAGGCTGTCAAACCCATCTTTCTCTCCAAGACAAACTTGCAGGCTGGGAACATTTTCTGCTCATAACAGCTTTTCTGTGCTGATTTTATGAGTTATTTACTCAAGAACCCAAATGAGTGTGTTAAGAAGTTTACATCTGTCCATTTTGCACAATCAAATCAAAACCCTTGGGTGCTGCAGTTTTACAATCATGTTTTAGTACAACACACCTAGAAGACTGTATGTCTACAATTAAGAATTCTCTTGTAGAAAAGGAAGTGGGAAGAATGTCAGGACACTACTGTTTTTTCCTAGTTGAATTCAGAGCTACACATTCTCAAGACTAAAAGTACTTGCATGTAAATACAAAATAGAGGTTATTTTCTTCAATCACTCCAAAACAAAAATAGAAATCCCTCTTCCATATTTCTTTCTTGCTATCACTTCCAAAATATACCTCTGCAGCACAAAGAGTAGGTCTCTTCTGCATACTGCAATATACTTCTGCACAGGAATTGCAAGAATTCCTGCACATAAGCATAGCCAAGACCACTTCCACTGTTAACTGTAATAGCAGTACTGGATGCTGCCATACAAGTACTCTTGTGCCATTAACAGAGTGAAACCCATTTAAGAGCATAAAAAGATGAAAAAACATAGCATTTCAATGGGAGACTACAGATGCAGGGAACTACAGAGAATTTAGTTTGAACACAACATATCTCATGCAATGTAAAATCTGGGAATGATGAGACTGAAGCAAGAAGACTATTAAAGAACATCTGCAGCACTACGTACACAGAAAATTGAGCTGTGGGCAAGTAGCAAAAGATATGAATAATATAAGGATAAAGATGGAATCTGCCATCAACCGATGATGTTGCAACATCATGATGGTACAGGAAGCAAAAAGAAAAGGTCTCGTGGTGGTCAGATGACACATTTCAAGTGGAAGAGAACTCTGGTGCTAGTGAGGCAGGTGGGCTGAATTAAGGACAACCCAGTGAATAAATGGCATGAGTAACAACCAGTGGATGAAAAGGAGTTGCAAGTCAGAGCCTAGAGGTTAGACTCTAGGCTCCACTTCCACTAGTGCGTATAAGTTAGCAGCTGGAGAGTACAAGACTACTCTAATTTGCACATGGACACAAAGGTTGTAAGAATAAAGTCACAACTTCATTCAGATAGTTAAATGCATTAACATTAACATAATTTGTTACAAAACCCTATCCCAGGAACCATATTGATCTAACTACATCTTTAAATTGTCTCGTTTCATCACCTTGATATAACATCCTGACTCGGAATACATACAACTGTAATTCAATACAGAAGAGTAAACAGACATTACTGCTCTTTATTTAAACTAGAATTCAGAAATTATTGTGTAGCTAACTATCTTCATAGAAGACAGCCACAGTGTGCACACAGCATTAATAAATGGCTTTTAGAGGCAAAAAGGGATTCTCATTCTGATTGGCATCTTTTATGGAAACCACTGGAGTCGTGCAACATCCACGTTTCCTAGAAGGCAGACTGATTCTGTTAAAGTACCAGAGATTCAACTGATCACATAAATAGCATTTGGTTTATTCCGCTAACACTGTGAGTATAGAACACATAAATTTTACACCTACAATGCAAGTTCAACCCTTCAAAATTGGAGAGTCCATTTGCAATACTGTGCATACCACCAAATGACATGGAAGAGCATGGCTCCTTGGGAAATGGGCAAGCCAGGTTTAAGAGGTGATGACCAGGAAGCCATCCAGTTCAGAAGCCAAGTTTAACCCTGCACCTTCAAATGCTATTGAAACATACTGACACAGACCAAAACGACAGTTCTTGAAACATTTATCAGTGTTTCCCAACAGCCATTTAAAGAGATGGTATTTTACCCATTTTACATCTTTACAAGCTAAAGAACAGTACTAATCACATGTTGACCTTGATGAGCAATAATTTACTAGTTTACCAAACCATTTCCAATGCAAGAGAGTAATTCTCCAGGTTTAACACACATGGCATTTTTC